GAGTATGTCACTGGACATGGGCTTTGAGGCCTAGTTTCTCTCTCTCTCTCTCTCTCTCTCTCTCTCTGTCTCTCCCTTCCTCCCTCCCTCCTTCCCTTCCTCTCTCTAATTGTGGATCAGGATGTAGCTCTTAGCTACTGCCCCAGTATTAGGTGGACCACCATACTCCTTGCCCTGATAATAATGGACCAACCCTCTGAAAGTGTAAACAAACCCCCAATTAAATGCTTTCTTTTCTAAGAGTTGGTCATTGTGTCTCTTCACAGCAATAGAACAGTGACTAAAATATCATGTTATATTATTTAAGGAATAAAGACAAGGGAAAATGTCTATGCTGATGCATCTTTTCCCCCTCAAATACTTTTAGTCCACAGATACTGAGTCCAGGGACATGAAGGGCCAACTGTGTTTATTTTTCCAGCTACAGGAGGCTGGTTGAAAGCAGGAAAGGAAACTAGCTTAAAAATGAGCTTACCCGTTACAATCCATCACTGAAGGAAGCCGTAGCAGGAACTTAAGGCAGGACATTGAAGCCAAAATCAACAGAGAAACTCTGTTTATTGGCTTGCTTTCTCTGGCTTGCTCAGCTTCCTTTCTTTCCTTTTTAAGAAAGATTTATTTATTTTATGTGCATTGGTGTTTTGCCTGCATATATGTTTGTGCAAGGGTGCCAGATCCACTGGAATTGGAGTTACAGACAGTTTAGAGCTACCATGTGGGTGCTGGGAATTAAACCCAGGTCCTCTGGAAGAACAGCCAGTGCTCTTAATTGCTGAGCCAGCTCTCTAACTCCCTCAGCTACCTTTCTTAGACAGTCCAGATCTACTTGCCTAGAGATGGCACCACCCACATGGGTAGGCCCTCCTCCATCAGTTAGCAATTAAGAAAATGCTCTACAGACATGCCCACAGCCAGTCTGCCAGAGGCAGTTCTTTAACTGAGGATCCTTTGAAATATGTGTGTCAAGTTGAGAAAAACCATGACATAGTTAAACAATACTTTATGGAGGAAGAGGCTTAAAGAAGTTAAATAATTTCTCATGTTGTCACAGTTAATGAGTGACAGCATGGGTCACTGGATCTGTGGGCCTAATGACAGCTCCATCCTCACTAGACAAATTTAGGTGTTATCAGCACTTACCAAATAACAAAACCATGTTTGTCCACCTCAAGGAAATGATTTATGCTATATGTTCACAAAGAAGGGATATTATTGCTTCTCTGTGGACTGCTCAGGCTGGTACATGTGGTGAATCAGTACCAGAAACTTGATTTCTCTGCACACCAAGAGTGGTTCCATCCTTCAGGAGTAGACCTGCATTAACCTACTTTATTAGTCTAGTGGAAGGTCAAGTAGCAACAAGAAGTCACTGTCCCAGATTTCAGGATTTGTAAAGCCCACGTGAAGTGAAGGGTGTGGAGGATTTAAAGACTAATTGAATAGAGCATGAGCAAGCTTCCCCTCCTCTCTTCCCCTCCCCTCCTCTGCCCTCCCTTTCCCTCTCCTCCCCTCCCCTCTTCTCCCTTCCCCCCTCCTCCCCTCGTCTCTCTGCTTTCCTTCCCCCTTACCTCCCTTAGCCACTGTTCTATGGTTATGAAGAAACACCATAACCAAGGCAAATTATAGGGAAGAAACTTTTAATTGGAGGTTGGTTTATGGCTTCAGAGGTTTAGTACATTATCGTCATGGTGGGGAGCATGGCAGGAAGCAGACAGGCATGGTGCTGGAGAAGGAACTGAGAGCTTTACATCCTGATCCACAGGCAGTAGGCAGAGTGAGACACTGGACCTGGTGTGGACTTGTGAAGCCTCCACCCTGAGTGACACTTCTCCTCCAACAAGGCCACGCCTCCTAATTCTTCTCAAATAGTTCACCAACTGGGGACTAAGGATGCAAATATATGAGGCTGTGGGGGGCATTCTCATTCAAACACCACACCCTCCCTCTCCCCTCTTTAATCTTTGCATGCAGTCCATACTGGCATTCACATATGTATCCTAGGTTAGCCTTGAACTTGTGATCATCACATTTCTACCCTGTGAATGCTGGTGTGGCAGGCCTGCTCCAACCATGCTCAACTCCTCTGTTTTACTTTGGTGATGATGTTTCCATGGTAGAAAATCTAGGAAACCCAGTGCCTTGAGTTGGTTTGCTTACTCTCACTTTATCCGTCTTGACCACACCCCAATTTCTTTTGATATGTGAAGACACTTGTAATTTTGGCTCAATGATTTTACTCAATGCTAAATAGTTAGATGGGTAAAAAGGTCTCCTGAACTGAGTTTAGTAGTTAACACAAATTATTTATTTGTTATTCTAGGCCTGGAACATGGGGCCTTGTGCATGCTAGGCAAATGCTATACCAATGAGTTAGGCACCAAGCCTGGCCATATCAATTGCAAAAATCATTTGATAGCTTCATTTTTTAAGGTCTTGAGGGGGGCCATCCTCTATTCAGAAGGATAGCTGTTAGGATCCTGCTCTCACTCTTCTGGGTCTAACATCTTATGTCATCGATGTACCTGCTGCCTGGTCACACAATCTCCACCTTAAAAAGTCACTCACGGACCCCCACGTTCTCTCTCTGCACTCCTCTTTCTGTTTTCTCTCTGCACTGCCCCCGCCATCTTTCTGCCTCTGCCAGGCCTGGCTCTCTCTCTCCCCCACCTTTCCCTCCAATAAAGCTCTAGAAACTAATATTGGGTTCTGCTGTGGCCCGTGACTCTTCCACCAACCAACCAGCGCCGTTCCATCCTTTCATTGGATCTTGGACAGTAGGTTCCCTTCACACCCAGTGTCCAGGGCTGAGTGTTGTGGAAACCCCTATATGGAGGGCCTGCGACCCTGCCCACCACCTCTGCTGCCACCACAGTACATGTCGGGACTGTGCTCATGCGACTGCCCCTGCAGCTGCATCCTGCCGTGTACAGCAGCCGCTTCGGTGAGTCCCATTTCCCTTGGCTGCAGCCTGACCTCTGTTCTTCATGCCAGACTCCCAGGGTGGTCCTAGGGCTGCGCTGGCAAGGACACATTTTCTCTCCTGACAAGGAGGTCAATGCTGTCAGACCACCAGGTGGTCCATGTGCTGCATATGCCCCAGCCCTTACTCATAATGTGACGGTGTTTTAGGTAACCTGTGCTGATTCATAGATCCTTCCTCTACCTCAGGGACGCTTGGGATAGCAGCCTAGGATCCCGGTTTGTTATTTTAATTTTTTATTTTTCTCTTGGCTGCAGCCATGGGATAAAGGGGCAGATACCAGTAAAATTGGCTGCATGACAGCTTTGTGGGAACTTCTGCCAGTGAACGGGCAGATAAAAAGAGTTACTTTATGCCCAAGCTTTCTGCTAAAACTCTGAACACTTCTCCCTCCCCATTCCTGATGTTTTCTCTGCCATGTGTAACCACTTCTGTCTATCTGACTTCCGCTTTCCACTCTCTGGCAATGGGCAGGCTTTAACCCACCCCACCTCAACTCCTAAATGAGTGGGCAGGCTCTCTACTGTTGTGGGCCACTTCTGCTGACTCTCACTTTAATTCACTTTAACTCCTCCCACTCATTCTTAAGCTGCGTGAGAAGCACAGATGGGTCTGGAAGGGGGCTGAGATCCATGCAAATAAGTTAACAATAGTCAGGATGGCTCTAGCCAGAAATCAGTTGATAGCCTGCCCTCAGGCAAGTCTTCTAAAAGCTGTCCTCAAGCCAGCAAACATCAAGGAAAGAAAAATTCAAGACAAGGAGTAAAATCGTCTCTTGTTCCCCAGACCTCCCCAACTAAAACTTAACCATCTAGAGAGCAAGGCTCCTGATGACCCCACAGATGAAAGTGTCATCTGTGGCATTCAAGGTGTGCCAGGGAAGAGATAAAAAGCCCGAGGACAAAATTGCCAAGTGCTGGCATTCGCTGGCTCCGGAAAGCTGTTGGGTCCCTGTTTTAAGTGAAGAAAAAGGCCACAGGCTAGTGAGTGCCCTGCCAGGCCATTAATAGCCTTGTTGAAAGTGCCACCTAGAAAGACAGAGTCAGCTGACTGCCCCCAGGCACCAAAGTGGCATGGGAACATTAAGCTAAGACCTCCAGCAAACTTAGGCTTGGCTACAGGCTTGCAGGGAACCAGAACATAGCAGGGAAGTAATCTGTTTCTTTCCTTCCAGACACCAGAGCCACTGACTTGGTTCTGGGAGTTTTGGGATGTCACCTCTCCTCGTTTCCCTATTGTCAGGTTAGGGAGGACAGCCTTACCCACCTCACCAGACTTAATTGTACTTTCAGGGTTACTTAATGGGAAAAGATTTCCAGCTAAGATAGGAGCTTTCATTTCATTGCGCCCTCCATGTGCCTCACTCCAGACCCACCCGCCTGTGCTTACAGGGCCCTGATCTTTGCCTTGTCCCTAATTCCAAAGAAATAAGCCGGGCGGTGGTGGCGCAAGCCTTTAATCCCAGCACTTGGGAGGCAGAGGCAGGTGGATCTCTGTGAGTTTGAGGCCAGCCTGGTCTACAAAGTGAGTTCCAGGAAAGGCGCAAAACTACACAGAGAAACCGTCTTGAAAAAAAAAAAAAAAAAAAAAAGAAATAAGTTCTCATGCAACACAAGGTTTTCTCTTCCCAGTTCCCTCTTCTAACTTACTGCTCAGCTAATGGTTATAGGACCACCTCAAAGCTTGAGTACAGAGATCATCAAGTAAGAAACTGTAACAGCTAAAAGGTATTTACACCTCCAGACCCAAAAGCATCTGGGCTCTGCAAAAACAGACTTCAATATAACCATCTATTACTGTTAAATGCTTTTAACAATTGATCACCTGTCTCCTGGATGCCAAACTAGTAAAGGAAACAGGTGCCTTAAATAATCTGTCTCTGATAAAGCTTAAAAACATGTTCCAATCTCTCTGTCTCTCCCATTAACACTAACAAATACAAGCAGAGTACTAAACACCACAAATGGTCACTGATTTTCTCATGGCTGCTTCTTAACATGTTCAAATTTTTTTCCCCAAGCTCCAGAAACCAGCTTAAATCCATCTGGACAGGTCCGATCCACTTCAGGCTTTTCCTGTCTCACCAGCATCCTGTCAGATACAAAAGCAGCCAGAGTGCCAAGCCAAGAGGGATCCACGGCTCCAGAGCAATGGATGACAGACCACACATCATCCCACAACGCCGGTCTACCTCGGAAGGCCCCCCTTCTCTATTCCCCCTAAAAGCCAACCAATGCCCACCCAATCAGCTGGAAGCAGTTTTTCTGGGAGAAACGATGCCCCGATTCCTATTTACTTGCTTTTTATACTAAGCAAAAGTCTGGAAAGTTAGGATCCTGCTCTCGCTCTTCTGGGTCTAATGTCTTACATCATCGATGTACCCGCTGCGTGGTCATGCAATCTCCACCTTAAAAAGCCACACACAGACCCCCATGTTCTCTCTACGTTCCTCTTTTGGTTTCCTCTCTGCACTGCTCCCGCCATCTTTCTGCCTCCGCCAGGCCTGGCTTCCCCCCTCTTTCCCTCCAATAAAGCTCTAAAAACTAATATTGGGTTCTGCTGTGGCCCGTGACTCTTCCATCGACCAACCAGCGATGTTTCATCCTTTCAATAGCCACTTCAGAAATCTTAGTAAGTTCGAATTACCATCAAGTTCTAGCCTTGGGCTCCAACCTGGATCTTTCGTTTTGCAGTCTGTAAAGCACCCACTTTCATTAATTACTGACTATATGACTTAGTCTGTGCCTCAGTTTACTAACCTGAAAAATAGGAGAAATAGCATAAAACTCACAAGATCAATGTTCAAGGCTATGAAGTGGGGCCTCTCAGTGCATATGTCACTTGTGTTTGGCATTCCTATGTGCTGGCTTTTATCACCAATTATTAGTGGACAAACTTACTGCCAACTTAACAGAGGAGCCCTCGTTATAAAGTCCAGTGACTAGGGATGGTGAGCTGACACGGCAGGCACAGGGGCTGTGGCCAAGCCTGGCCACCTTAGTTCAATCACCCAAATTCACTTGGTGGAAGGAGAAATCTGATTCCAGTAAGTTGTCTTCTGACTTCCACACATGCACTGTGGCACCTGCATGTACACACACACACACACACACACACACACACACACACACACACACATACACACACACACACACACACACACACACACACACACACACGCGCGCGCGCGCGCGAGAGAGAGATAAATAAATAAATAAATGAATGAATGAATGAATGAAATAAAAACCAAAGGCCATTCCGTCAGTCACAGATTTCTTTGAAGCCCAAAACAGGGAAACAGTGGTTCAAAATTGGAGCGGGGAGGTAAGTGTGGTGGCCCAGGCCTATAATTCTGTCACTTAGCATGCTGGGACAGGAGGATGGAGAGCTCAAGGGCAGTAACCTGAGCTACACAGCAAGATGTATCTCAAAACAAGTGAGTAGACTGAGAAACCATATCAGATATGTTCTCTTTAAAAAATCTAAAAGACTTATTTTATGTATGAGGGTTTTGTCTGTTTGCATGCATGTGCACCACCTGTGTGCCTTGTGCCAGAAAAGGGCATTGGATGCCCTGGAACTGGAGTTACTTTAGACGGTTGTGAATCATCACCATGTGGGTGCTGAGATCTGATCCTGAGTACTCTGCAAGAGCAATAAATGCCCTTAACTACTAAGCCATCTCTTCAGCCCCAGATTTTTTATTTTTTAATTAGGCAGTCGAGTTTAGGTTGTAGATTAGGGGTAGAGCATAGGCTAAGCATTCTCAAGGGTCTGGGTTCAAATCACCAGAAAGAAACATTAAGCAATATTTCATTTATTTTCTTTCATGTTCTCTTCCTTCCTTCCTTCCTTCCTTCCTTCCTTCCTTCCTTCCTTCCTTCCTTCCTTCCCTCCTTTTTCTTTCTTCTTTCCTTTCTCTTCTCTCCTTCCCTCCATTACATGTAGCCTAGGATGGCCCTCCTCCTCCCTCTCCCCACCCCCACCTCCATTACATGGAGCCTAGGCTGGCCTTGAATTCCTGATCCCTGTGATTCTATTTCCATAGTACTAGGATTATTTTTTCTTTGTGACAACAACCCCTTTAGCCCTTGCCTGTTAAAGCTCCTGACTGCCTTATCAAAACAATTGGGGTCAAAGCAAAACATGAGGGATCTGTTGCAGATCATATAGAAATCACCAAAATATTCCAGACACAAATTTATGTCAGTATAATGCATGTTTTGCTTCTAATAATCCTTATTCTTCTTGTTCCTTCCACTTGCGGGCATTGACCTCAGGGCTTGCATATGCTAGGAGAGTGCCATACCACTGAGCTATACCCACTCCCAAGGGAAGTTTTCAAAGATAGAAATGAGGAGGAGAACATCAGATATATTGAAACAATAATCTACAGTCATGTGGTTTGTAACAAGGCTGTTCTTGGTCATATGATTAGTAAGAAGGTGATATTGGTCTGAGGCTGGACAAACAGTTGCTGCAGTTGGTGGGTAGATGTATTTTTGTAGAATTCCTTTTCCTGTGGCCTTTGTGTAAGCCTGTGGGTTGTTTTTGTTTTGTTTTGTTTGTTTGTTTGTTTACAGTCTTGAGTCATAACAGACAACCTGGGTAAGCCACCTTACTGCATACCCTCAGGCCTCACTCCTTCTGTTCTTTTGCTGTGGTTGTTTTGAGATGAGTTACATGTTGCCCGTACTTGTCTCAAACTGAGTAGCTGAGGCTGACCTTGAACTCCATCCAGACATTGTCCATCTGAGAATAGATGTAGGTACCACCAGATCAAGCTTTACCTTTTATTTTATTTTTAATTTACTAAAAAAAAAAAAATTACCTAAGTGGGGGCTGGAGAGATGGTTCAGAGGTTAAGAGCACTGGCTGCTCTTCCAGAGGTCCTGAGTTTCAACTTCTAGTGACCACATGGTGGCTCATAACCATCTGTAATGGGATCTGTAGGCGTACGTGCAGATAGAACACATATGCATAAAATATATAAATAAATACATAAAAGTTTTTTCAAAAATTACAGAAGTGACTCTGATGATTTCCATGTTCTTCCACATGTTAAACATCAGTTAGGGCCAGTGAAAGGTGGAATTACCCTCCACCCACATCTACACTGTCCATGGACTCCAACTAGGCAGAACTTGTTGTTAAAGAACAAAGTTCTAACCCATTAGTTAAAAGATATTGATTGGCTTTATTTTTGATTACAGAATCAAGTAACATGTTATTACACAAAATGCAGTAAGTCTTCTAGTGAGGAAGCAGAAAGGGATGGTTTTCCAGAGCTTGATCTGGGCGTGGTGGTCCATGCCTGTAATCCTAGCACTTGTTGGGTAAAGGCAGGAGAATCAGAGTTCAAGGCTGTCCTCAGTTACAGAACAAATAAGGAAAAACAATGTCTCAACCCTACCAAAGCCAAGTGGCCATTTTAGCTATTTCCTTGCAGGGATTAAAAAAAAAAAAAAATCAATAGAAAAGCAACTGGCTACTATTTTGGGTTACTTTTTGTATAAGGATTAAATTAGTGAGAACATCCTTATCACCACAATTGGAAACTGGCCTGTTTGGGAGATTTAGCCTCAGTTTCTCTCTCTAATACCCCAGAGGTTCAGATTAGCAACTTAATTTCAAGTTGGTTATGAGAAAGGTTAGGAGTAGGGACTCTACCTTGATGCTTGCTCTGTTGAGACTCACAGCAGGAGCTTAGTCCCCAAGAGTCACCTCCATGCAAGTGGTGGTGGTACAGATCCACAAGAAGAATGTTTGTGGTGGTATTGTGTTCCTCAAAATATTGTGCACCCTAATAAATTTATCTGGGGTCAGAGAACAGAACAACCACTAGATACAGAGGCTAGAAAATGGTGGCACTCACACCTTTAATCCTAGCATTCCAGAGGCAGAAATCCAACTGTTCAAGGATACAGCCAAGCTTGGTGACTCATGCCTTTAATCTCAGAAAGCGAGCCTTTAATCCCAAGGAGTGATGGCAGAAAGTAGAAAGATATATAAGGCGTGAAGACCAGAAACTAGCAGTATTTGGCTGGTTAAGCTTTTAGGCTTTTGAGCAGCACAGTTCAGCTGAGATTCATTCTGGATGAGGACTGAGAGGCTTCCAGTCTGAGGAAACAGGATTAGCTGAGGAACTGGCAAGGTGAGGTAGCTGTGGCTTGTTCTGCTTCTCTGATCTTCCAGCGTTCACCCCAATAACTGGCCTCAGGTTTGATTTTATTAATAAGACCTTCTAAGATTCCTGCTACAAACGTTTGTTTGTTTTTTAATGATGCATGCCAGTCTGGAACTCACTGTCCAGGCCATAGAGAGAGGCCTGAAGAGACATTACATTCCCAGAACTGCAGTTACAGCCTTCGTGAGCTGTCATGTGGGTGCTGGGAATTGAACTCAGGTCTTTTGGAAGAGCAACCTGTGCTCTTAACTGCCGAGTGATCTCTCCAGTCCTGAAGATATAGTTTTTGGAGAGGCACTGGTTAATACACTTAGTAGAAAGAAGACACTGTGATGATCAAAACAAGGACAGGTTTATCATTTAGAGCTAACTGGTAAGCACTGCCATGTGTTTCCTTAGAGAACTCATGGGCAGTGATGACATGACCATGTTGAAGGATGGATTGGAAGGGCTGCACACATGAAAAGGCAGAGAATTAGGCCAATGTGTCACTTTGAGGGAAGCCAGCTATGGAGGACAAGAGGTAATATCTTAGAAAAAAGCATGTCAATGTTAGCTTGAGGGAGGGTGGGCTATGCTGGGAGAGATCTGTCCAAACACTATCATGTAGGAAAGGGAGAGGCTGGAGGAGGCAGGACCAAGAGGGCAAACAAAGGAGTCCACCTGGTCCAGAAGAGAACATCTTCTGGGGAGAAAAGGGAATAAGTCCAGGCAGAAAAGACTAATGTCTTAGTTTATTTTCCACTTATTAGAAAATACCCTGTGAGAGGGCCAGGCAAGTATCATGACAGCCTGCCCTAATAACTCAGTTAAGAACTAGGCCTCAGTTCCTGCTTCTTGGAATTGGGCAGGCAGTTTCTGAGGAAGAGCCATGATCAAGACAGTCAATCTCCAACACTCCTGTCAGCAAGGATGTGGAGGCCTGGTATGTGCGGCACCAGGCCTGAGCCATAATCGGCAGTTCAAGGTGATAACCAAATAAGGACAAAGTCCTGGATTTTTCCAGGCCTGCCCCAAAATAGAAAAGCTGTAGCCTGATTAGCCCTAACCAATTAGAATGTACCAATATGATCGCCACTTGCTTAAGCCAATCATATCTAAAGTGACTTAACTGCCCTAGGACCTCCCCTTAGCTGTGCTTAAAAGGAGTCTGTGAGCTTCTCTCAGGGTGCTCACCATCTTGCCTCTGTGTAGGATGGATGGCCCCAGTATGCTGGTAATAAACACGCTTGCTGATTGTATACATGGATGGTGGTCTTTTGTGGGACTTCTCCAGGAGCCTAACCTTACTGAACAAAAGCAGTTCAAGGGAGAAAGGGTATTTTTTAGTTCACAGTTCTAGGCTGCCATCCATCATTGT